ATTCTTTTGTGTGTGTGTGTCTTTTCTTGTGGGTTCAAAATCTTTGAAATCCTCCATTACCGCTATGTAATTTATGTAATTAACTTTGTAGATTTAAAAATATCAGAGGATTTTTTTTATGTTGATTTATTGATATAGTACAAGCTCTAACATATTTCTGTTAGAATCTCAGCATTTGAAAGTTCCCACGGCCTAGCGTAGCGAACGGTATGTATAAGCAATGTAATTCGCACAGTAGTACGTTTTCTATTCGAAGGTCCCGTAAGGTTTTGTAAGGACCACGGGCCATTGCCAAAAAATGTATCAGTGTTGAGGGTTTTGGAATGCTACAAAAAACGCTGTAACCTTCAGCATCAGGACTGTCAGCTTTTCCGTAGCCTCATTTCTGCCGTTCTCTGAACATCAGATGATAAAGAAAACGGCTATTAATATTAATATTAGACTATACACTTTCATAAACGGATGAATATTAGATTACAGTTACAGTGCGTAAGATAAAAGACTAGGGATTATAAGATTCCCTGCGTTATTTTATTGTCTATTGTGCCATACATAATCTTTTAGGTTACTTCGGCCAATCACATAACATGTAAACAGAACTAGACACAGCGAGATTTTAAAATAATCTGCAAGCATATGTAGAAAAAAATGAATATATTCATTTGATTATATCCATCATGTGGGATATGTATTTACTGTATAGATAGGAACCAATACAAAAACTTTTATTAATGTATTGATAAATAGCATTATGATATATTATTATTAATATTAGTCCAAACAGTTTTTTTATTTGTTTATTTTTCATCGTTGTTAAACAAAGAACCGGACCAAAATATTTAGTAACCTCTATCTGTCGTCAAAGGAAATATTTCAAGCTTATTCTTGCCCATGCACTTTGAAGTTTATTGTCAAAATGCCGACAGACACAAAAAATGCTATACTGGTTTAGCGTTGGTATTGCTAGTTTATATATCAGCAATGTAGTGTTTTCTATATCATTTGTAATAATTATGTCAGAGAAGGGTTCTTTAAAAGTTCACTTATCTATCGTTTCCATGCATTCTAGTATAATGTAGGCCTATAAGTTTTCGCGAATTTGTGTGAATTTTATACTCGCTAGTTTCATGTGAAATTTGCATTTCTTCACTATGCCCGTATTGCGACATGTGTTTGCCATCATATTAGTTACTTCAGGTGTAAAAACAAGCCCAAAACTTTGCTTAGATATTGATTTTTTGACGAAATAACATGTGATGACATCATGTGCTCCGACCACTGGTAAAATTTACCATAGTAACTTCAATGGCAAGTTGTTAGTGAACCGCTGTCTAGTTACCATGGTAACTATAGTTACCAGTGATTTTACCATCGTAAATGCGTTAATGAATCCGGGCCAAGTATGGTTTCAGCAACTTTCATGTTTAATTTACTTAAACATGGGAAAATATCTCAATATTGTTGAAAACGGATTTCTTCTGCATCAAAAATTCTATAGTCATAAAGAATAAAAAAAATTTGGCCTTCGGACAAAAAAGAAAAAAAAATTGTTGTGACGTCACCACCCGTCGGTTGTATTTTGTTTCCGTTTAGCAGATGGATTTTCGTAGAATTCAGGCCCTGCTCAGCATGCAAACTTGGGAACGGCTAGATAAGTAGCAACTCGAGATGTCATGGCGTTTGTTTTGATGATTGTTAAATAAAAATATAACCAATGTAATCATTATTTTCCATCCTTTTTGAAAACTGAAGAGGCCAAAATGATCGACCATATCCACAAAACATCCTTAACTTTCGTTACGTCATCAAAATAGAATTTTTTTAAAAGTAGAATCAGACGCCATGACACTTGTAGTTGCTATTGATCTAGCTTTTCCCATGTAAACTTCTTGGCAGAGTAGGCCATATCTATATTTATATCTATCTATCTATCTATCTATATCTGTATCTATCGATATATATATATATATATATATATATAACACATATATATATATATATATATATATATATATATATATATATATACATACATACATACATATATACATAAATACATATATACATACACACACACACACACACACACACACACACACACACACACACACATACATACATATATATAATATATATATATATATATATATATATATGTATATATGTATATATGTGTGTGTCTGTGTGTATGCTGCTGTTATAGCATATATAATATATATATATATATATATAAATATATATATGTGATATGTTGTGTTAGTTAATAGAGAGAGATAGTATATGAAAGTATATAGAGAGATACGAGAATATGATATGATATGTGTGTGAGTGTATGTAGTTGTGTTGTGGGTTGTGTGTGTGGTGTAGATGTGTAGTGATAGATTGTGATAGTGGAGATAGGTGATGTACTTGTGCTGTGCTGTGGTGTAGTAGATGAGAGAGTTGTGGTGTGTAAGTGTGTCGTGATGTGTGACGATACGTAGTATATAAATTGTATATA